ATCTAATAGGAGTTTTTTCACATGTTTAAAATTTTGATGCTCACAGGTTTCCACTAGAAAGCATAGAATTAGGTTTTAAAACTCAATGCGGGTTTGGAAAGTTGCTCCTCCTCCAAATCTCTAATTTATTAAAAAAAAAAAATTACTCACTCACGCCCTAACACATGTTGTTGGCATTGTCCCATCCCAATTTTTCGCTTTCTCCTTTCGGTTTTTTCCTTTTTATATGTATTCATCTTCTTCATGTTTTAATATATTAGGTTTCTTGTTATGAAATATTTGTTATAAAATAATATATGTGAATGACTATTTTTTTCTCCATGTAATTGTATTAATATGGTTGTGCCATAAAAAATTTCCTATAAATAGGAGTTTCAGTTATAATGAAAAACGTATTAAGAGAATACATTTCTCTATTCTATCTAGCTTTATAATACGTTATCTAGACATGGCCACGGGTCACCCGGCCTACCGACCTGGCCCGGACCCGGCACGGACCCGGCCTGGTCAAACCCATTGACCATGGGTCCGGGCCCGACGTGGATTTTTCAAACGGGCCGGTCAAGGGTCATTTTTTTCGACCTTGACCCGGTGGGCCGGGCCGGGTCCGGGCCGGGTCGTGTCGGCATGGAAAAATACATTGCTTTTGAATTTAATTTTTTTTTTATTTTTTATGTGGCCAGGTCCAAACCCGGCCCGGCGGGTCATGGACCCGGCAAGACCCTAGGTCCGTGCCGGTTCAGGGTCGTCGAAACCCAACCCGGTGGCCCGGTTTTTTGCCATGTCTAAGTCGTTATCACCACGAGTCTCTACCCTCTAGAGCTCGATTTGTAATATGACGAGAGCACACTCTACAGTTGCGTCTTATAGACGATTTTCTGTATCAGAAATCGAAATATTATAAAATCGCTATTTTCTCCAAGCATTTTTTCTATCACTCGTAGGGTGTTATGTTTTTGCTCTTTTGTCCCACATCGGAAGTGGGAGAGAGAGGAGGGGAGTTTTCCCCTATATAAGAAAGTGCTACTTCTTATGTAAAATCATCCCACGGAGTTATTGTGTTAACAATTAATCTCTGGTTAAAAATTCCTTAGGGTGAGAGTTAAGGTTAACCGATAAAAAATTCTGTGGGGTAATTTGGGTATAAGTGATTGTAGAAAAATTTGTGTGATTGTAATTTTTTTTACATAGTAGATTTTTCTACGGCCTTGTTGCTCTGGTGGTTTTTTCCTCTTCGTTAACAGAGGTTTTTCCACGTTAAACTTTGTGTTCTCCAGTTTTATTATTTTCAGTAGATCTTGGGCGGAGTTTCGGTGTGGTCAGAAATCCCAACAAGTGGTATCAAGAGCGAGGTTAGCCTAGTTGGTATTCGGAGTATGCTCTGTGGTTGCAGTTTTGTCTGATCTTCCACATCAGAAAAGATACTAAAGAGGCCTGTTCGTGCGGTGGAGCCAGTGACGGGTGGAGCTTGTGTGCAAAGGAGTTTTTGGGCAGTGGGGAATAATTACTGTGTAAGTAGGTTCTGTCTAGGAGATTGGTTTTTTAAGTGGGACCGTTGTGACCCCACCAGCCTTTCTTGGGAGCTTACTTAGAAGGGTAATTTTTTAGGGGGCAAGTCGCTACCCTCCTTGAGAATTTATTGATCAGTACTATTCAAAGTTGCTGCTCAGTTTTCTGCGAAGTTAGTGTTCACTGATTCACGAAAATGTCTGGAAATAAGATATCGAATCTGACGAGATTTGATGTGGAGAAATTCGACGGAAAAATCAACTTTGGTTTGTGGCAAGTGCAAGTGAAGGACGTGCTGATTCAGTCGGGGTTACACAAAGCTTTGAAGGGCTCGGAAATTCCCAAAGGCAGTGCTACCAACAGCACCGAAGAAAAAGCTGGTGTGAGCAAATCTGGAATGAGCGATGAAGATTGGGAAGAACTGGATTTGAGAGCGGCGAGCGCGATACGACTGTGTCTGGCCAAGAATGTTCTTGCTAATTTGCATGAAATTTCGACGGCAAAAGCATTATGGCAAAAGCTTGAGGAGTTGTATCAGGCTAAAGGCGTCTCAAATCGAGTGTATCTGAAGGAGCAGTTTCACACACTGCGAATGACTGAAGGTCAAAGCATCTCAGACCACTTAAGCATTCTCAATGGGATCGTCTCGGAGCTGGAATCCATTGGAGTGAAGATTGATGATGAGGATCAGGCGTTGAGACTCATATGGTCTCTTTCAACTTTTTATGAACACATGAAGCCGATCTTGATTCATGGGAAGGAGAAAATTGTATTTTCTGAAGTCACTGGTAAACTTCTTGCGGAAGAGAGAAGGTTAGATGGTGGACGAAACAATTCACCGGAAGGTCAAGTCATGCTTGTCGGTGATGGAAAGAAGAGGAACTCCAGGAAGAAGCAAGTTGTGATTTGCTGGACGTGTGGACAATCTGGGCACGTGAAAAGAAATTGTCCGAAAGGAGGAGCAGGTTCGGCAAAAAGCTCCAAGTCGGTAAGTGGAGATACCGAAGAAGCTAATTTTGTCTCTCTCTCTCTCTCTCTCTCTCTCTCTCTCCATGGATGAGTTTTGCTAAGAGAGAAAGGGGAGTCCTTATGGCATGTCGCTAAGTGTCATGAAAGAGGACGTGTTACAATTAGCGAGTCCACAGTTTACACACGGGCATTGGTTTGGCGGTGATGCAAGGTGTGTGGTGGAAAAAGCGTGTCGAAGGCTGATGAACTTCTAGGAAAGCCAAACGTGGAAGTTGCACCATAGATTTCAGCAAAGTTATTTCGACATGGGCCGAAGAAATGCTTGGATGCGAGTCCGAGTAGATATGCTTTTATGGTGGAGCATGATAGCGAAAGCTATGAAAAATTCCATCAAAGTGAATAGTGACTGTCAGATGGGTCAAAATCGCAAGGTGGAGTTTGTTATGTTTTTGCTCTTTTGTCCCACATCGAAAGTGGGATGAGAGAGGAGGGGAGTTTTCCCCTATATAAGAAAGTGCTACTTCTTATGTAAAATCATCCCACAGAGTTATTGTACTAACAATTAATCTCTGGTTAAAAATTCCTTAGGGTGAGAGTTAAGGTTAACGGATAAAAAATTCTGTGGGGTAATTTGGGTATAAGTGATTGTAGAAAAATTTGTGTGATTGTAATTTTTTTTTTTTTTTACATAGTGGATTTTTCTACGGCCTCGTTGCCCTGGTGGTTTTTCCCTCTTCGTTAACAGAGGGTTTTCCACGTTAAACTTTGTGTTCTCCAGTTTTATTATTTTCAGTAGATCTTGGGTGGAGTTTCGGTGTGGTCGGAATTCCCAACATAGGGAACTGCTAAATTCTTATGTTCTACCTTTTGCCATTTCAATTACTTCTTCGGCACATGATAATTTTGACACGCCATAATAAAATAACCACAAAACCGAAATTCTCTCAAAGGAAGAAAAAAGAAAAGGAAAAAATGCAAGTAAAAGTTATAGGTTATGAAAACATAAAGCTCTCAGTCATTAATTTCTCCAACATTAAAGAGCAAACTCCAACATTAAAGAGCAAACTCCAACATGGGAAGCCATGAAATCCATTACTCTCAAGTGTCGATCAACTGAGTTCACGAGCTACTCGCTTTGTTTAATAGTTGTCCAAACGGGTGGGCAAACAAACTTGGGAAATTTTTATCTATCTTACTTGATTTAGATTTATTTACAATTTTGCAGCTATTATAAATTTAATTGCATATGTACTTAAACCTATTAAATTAATTAGAGATTTACTTGATTTCAGTTACCATACAAAAAAACGTTGACTGATAAGAGAGAGAAATGAAAATAAATAACTTACTCATTTAATTCCTTAATACGCGCAATTGGAATTTTTTAGTTCTCACGCAGTTGTCATGTGGTATATATTGCGTTTATATTAGTATATATTCAATATATGTGCGCAACTGGAATTCCTTAATTCACGCAGTTGTCAGGTGGTATATATTCAGTATATCAGGTAATGAAAAAAAATGTCTTCCATCAAAAAATTATATCTTCTTCTTCTTCTTCTTTTTTTTTTTTTTTTTATATATATATACATAAAAGTATATATATAGTTTAAAAACATATTATAACAGATTACTTAATATAAAACCATACATATAACAACACCAACAAAAAAAAAAATCACTTTATCCTAAATATAAATAGATTTTATACATAAAAATTATATTCCGACATAAATTTCTTTATCATATAGCGAAAATATACTGAATTTAAACCATATATTTAAAAAAAAATAAAAAAAATCAGTTTATGCTTTGTCAGTATAAATCATACATACATATAAGGTTGCCCTTATATTATACATAACATATACTCCATATATACACAACATATGCCCGCAACTCAAACAAAATAAAAACTATTTATCTATGAATCAAGCAATTCAAGTGTTCAACAATTATCCTCTCATCAACGACCCAAAGCCTCCTTTACCTCTCAACGACCCGAATCAAGCACATCAAGTTCTTCTGAGCCTTGGTCGCTGCCCCTCTCAGCAACGACCCGAAGTCTTCTGTCCCTCCCTTGAGCATGAGCATAAGTTTCACACTCAACGGGAAATTCCCCGAACCCCTAACACCGCGATCTAGTGTTTCCGGCAAGCAGAAATTCTCGCGCGATCGATCGAGGTTTAGGGTTTGGTGATCGCGAAGGACCCGGGAGCCATCGATTAGCATAATATAATCTGACTAAATCACAAAAAAAAAAAAATTAAAAAACAATACTTTGCTAAAATTAAAAAAATAAAATAGCAACTAGGGGATATAATTTTCGACTTTCATGTATCGTTTTGCAAAGAAATCAAAGGTTGTGATATTCTCCGCCAAGGTCCAAAAGTCGTGATGTTTTAGCAATTTAGTAAAAGGTTGTGATATAACGAGCTATTTTGCCTTAATTAATCTGCAAATAAAAATAATTTTCCACCTTCAATCAAGTCATGGTTGTTTGAACACAATGAAACACAACCACTCGTAAAATTAAGCCCGTCGAACCCAAATATGAATGCAACCTCGTCACAGCCAATGACCGTGAACCTGTTTCTGTCGGAAAACACGTAAGTAAGGTATGGAGGAGAACGTCTGAATACGGCGTTTTAGCGCCGCGACGGAGATCGAAGGGGCTGCGAAATTCAAAATCTGATGCTTCTCGTCGAGCAATTTCACGAGCACCTGGTGATTTTCAGATTTTTGAGCTTCCATGGATACAACTCTCAAGCCTTAGATGAAAAGGCACTACAAATTGTTGGTTTTTTCCTTGGAAATTAACGAAAAGGAGAAGTTGAAGATGCCGATCCCCTTTTGATCTTTCTGTGTAGTTGACAAATGAAAATGGATTAATTATCTCAATTAATCAATAATTGATTCACTTCGATATATAAATCTAAATCATAATTAATAACTTATAAAATCTGGTATATGTGTAAATATGTTGGGGTGATTTTGTAAATTTACAAATAAATAGTAATCGAATGTAAATATGTAAAATAAAATATATATGGTAGTATGAGGTGCAAATTCCTCAACAAACTTGAGCTCCAAACACATCCTTATTTGGGCCTGAGGCCCAATATACAAAAGAGCGAAATATAAAACATTAGATAGACCAAATAATGGCTAATGGGTTACTACTTCACCGACGCAGACCCAACAATATTTGGGCCTACCCTGGTAGTTATCCAATCAAATCCAGGTCCAGAACCAGGCCCAGGCACCGGCGAATCACGACAACTGAACTACTTTTATTGCTCCCATAGTCCATAGCTCGTTCATTCTGAAACTAGGGTTTTGTGCAGACCTCAGCCGCATCTCCACCGCGAGCCTCACTCTCCGTTCCTAGGTTTTCCGATCTCAGCAGCCATGGGGTATGAAGTCGAATCTTCTCTTGCATTTCCTTCGAACCTACGAATCTTGAAATCTATTGTTATTTTAATGAATTTCTGTTACTTACGTCGGATTTTTCGAGATTTTGATTGGACTGATTAAGCTGTTGTCATGGATTTGAGTGCCGATTGTGTTGGTTCGTAGACAGTTAGCTACGCAGTCTCGTACATGTGTGTGTTTTTGGTGTGGAATGTATTTTTCGATTACCGTTAACCTTGGAAATTGGTGACAAAATGATTGAACTTGTGAAACTTATAATCTGCTACGATTTCTGTATTTTAGAGCTGAATTTACTCGTGAGAAGTACTGTTTTTTTGCCCATTTTTCTCACTTATGCATTGTGCAATGTGGTGGGTTGATCTCGAAAGTTAAAAATTCCTACTTTTTAGATGTATATTTGCTAAGTAGTTTATATAAAGATATGTGGTGGTGACTTGGATTTTTGATTGCTGGTGATTGTTATTATGTTATGTTACATCAAATCATTTATGCACCTGATGTTGGAGCTGCATTTGGCTGGTGATTGACGTTTTTGCTTGACGTGAATCGTTATATATAACCTTGTACTTTTATCTAATAAATGTAGAGTGTCCTGTTAAACTTAAACCATGTATCTGAAGCTCATTAGGGGTTTAATTTAAAGGATGTGATATTCAGAATTTCTTGTAACTTTTGTCTCCTCCAATACAATATGATGAGAATGTATGTAGAGTTCTATTGCATATGCTTGTTAGAAGGGCTTCACTGGTAAATGATTATCGATGATAATGTTTTTTTTTTTTCATTGTTGCTATTGTGCAGGAAGACGCGTGGTATGGGAGCTGGTCGCAAGCTGAAGTCCCACCGGATAAGGCAAAGGTGGGCTGACAAGGCTTACAAGAAATCTCACCTCGGGAATGAGTGGAAGAAACCATTTGCTGGCTCGTCTCACGCCAAGGGCATCGTGCTCGAGAAAATGTCAGACCCCTCTCAACTTTGATGCACAGTTACATTATTACATCTCTATATGATCTCTTTTGTTCAATTTAGACTCATGCATTCTTTCATCGACATCATTTTGCAGAGGCATTGAAGCTAAGCAGCCGAACTCTGCCATTCGTAAGTGTGCTAGGGTTCAGCTGATTAAGAATGGAAAGAAGATTGCAGCTTTTGTCCCTAATGATGGTTGCTTGAACTACATTGAAGAAAACGTGAGCTCCCATTATTCATCTAGCTTTCTTGATTCTTCTTTTGCAGAATGTACTCGTTTTTTTCTTTTTAATTAATTAATTTGATCGTTTATCTAATTTCGGTATAGGATGAGGTGTTGATTGCTGGATTTGGACGTAAGGGACATGCAGTGGGAGATATTCCCGGTGTTCGGTTTAAGGTGGTGAAGGTTTCGGGTGTTTCGCTTCTGGCTCTGTTCAAGGAGAAAAAAGAGAAGCCTAGGTCTTAAGTCACCTGTCTCGATCTTCCCTTTTCAACTGGTTGGTCAAGTTTTGGATGAAATCTTTGGTATCCCAAGTTTTATTTAGCAGACATTCTTTTTGTTTCCCCTTTTCAAAATCCCGAACACGATTCTCTTATATGGCTGTGTTCATGATGAATTAATGTAGTGTTTGTGTGCTTGGAATTTTCTGGGTTTTGTTATCTACAACTAATGGAGCACTTGGATTTCGTTTCAATATCCATTTTGAGTTTTCTGTAGCTAGTTGCTTGTCGTATTTGATTTATGTTGGAAACTTATTATTGGAAATTGGAACTATTACTAATTGTTTCTGAATTTTTGGTGTTTAAAATTAATTTAGGAACGTATTTAGAAGATGATTTATGCAATAACGTCACAAACACAAATGGGCAAAGGTCAATTCCAAACTGAAAAGGAGAAAGAACACCCCTATCCATTTATTTCATTCGACCCAACTTTCTTTTGTTCTGTTCCCAAAATTCGAACAAGATTTTGTACAATATACAAAATACTTAAAAAAGTTGTACAAAAAAAATGCTACAAATACATAATAATATACATAGAGTGGGGTCTACACTTTATCCGATATGCTATTTTGAAAATTTTTATTGAAAATTTCACGATGCATATAATAAAGCCTTCGGAAAGTGTAAAATTAACACATTGAGAATTTTAATTGAAAGTTTCACAATGAATATATTATTCACTATATATTAATTCAAAACGTGTTGAGCTTAAGTGATAGATTCTCACGTTTCAGATGTTGACATAGCGAAAATCAATGCTTCGTTATGTTTTTATAGTATTTTTGCACTAAAATTAGGTTTGGTATTAGATATAAATAACTTTTATCGTATATTTCTTAACTCAACAACTGTGTTGTACACGGGTATTGTAGTAGTAGTGGATAACTAAATGTTCTGCCATCTGTTGGATCATTCCCATTTCGAATAATCAATAATGAAACGTAAAACAAACAACATTCGCGCAAGCATAATCACTATAAACAAACAAGCCAGATAGAATCTTAAGCTGAAACGTCCATACTGTTGAAGCTTGCACACATTTGAGAAGACTCGTCACAAACGATTTCTAAAGTACAATTTCACTAAAAACATATCCTGAAAATACAAGTAGTTAAGTTGAAAAACAACCTATCCTCTCTTCCTTTTCCCCCTTCACCACATAGCACTATAATAAGCCTCCAAACTGAAGCCACCAAATGAATACTCGAAAACAAGCCCGAACCAAACTCCTCACAGTTAGCTATTCTCTTTCTGCTCAAAGTTGGGCAAAATAAATCCCGACTTGCCCACAACCGACTCTTTCGCCACATCCACACTCTCACTGCTGACGAAAGAATTCTTGGGAGCTAAAGGGACTCTGCACGTTTCAGACTCGGAGATAATCACCGCGTGTTCTGATGCATCACTTGATAAATGTTCATCTTTCGAGCCCTTGAGATCGTTCTCTTTGGCTACCAAGTCACCGGCTTCAATTTTCGTACCACCTAAACTCTCCTCGATAATGGCATTACCTGTATTTGCAAATACTTGCTCATCTCGATCTTTGTTCTGAGTATTTTTGGGGTCTTGACAAGTTTCTTCAGATGCGGGGATAACTTTAACCCCAACAGACGAGTTGGGAGAATTTTTCACGTCCATTGATTTTTTGTCAGGAGAGAGTACAGGTGATTTGGGCTTTTTAAGAGTAACTATTTTAGGGGCCTTAGCAGTCTTGAGTTTGCTGTAAGAGCTTCTAACTGGAACACCTGTTGGAGGTCCATTCCTGGGGAGCTGCTTGTTCACAGCAGATGGAGACTGTTGAAGCCTATTAGGAGAGTTCACAGATGACTTCACCTGGAAGACAGTTACAAAAGTTTTAAAAATAGAGCTCGGGACTTGTTATTGAAATAGACTAGACCTCAATGATTATTTTTGTGACGAAAAAACCAATGATGCCTTCTATGCAAATTACATTAACAGGCAATGATAAAAAATAGTTATCTAACAAGAAACATCCTTCACTAATGAAAAGTCCATTCGAGAATTTCATCATCTATGTTGCCCGTTAAATGAAACTTAAAAATAGATCAAACCAGAGACTGAAAACTAACCCCGTCAAAAAAACCAAACTTGTGGGACGGCATTCGCAATCCTGATGGCTTCCCCGGAACACGAAGTTTATCGCCATTTTGTGTTGTCGGTTTTTTAGAACTGCCACTTGTTAAAATAGCCCCCTGGTGTTCAGCCCCATCAGCAGTTTGACCCACTAAAGGATTTGTAATATCCAAAGGAATTAAATAGCCATCTGTAGACCTACAAGAACTGGTATCTATACTGTTTCTGGTGTTACTGAACTTTTGGATAAGCATTGAAGATGATGTTGATGATGCCGAAGACCACTCACCAATCGAACTAGCTGGTGAGACACTCGAGGAGATCTTGGACAATGAGGAGGGCAATTTGTTTTTTGCAGTAACTCTTGAAGGAGTTTTAGGGATGGAACCGGAAGGACCCGTGTTGATGTTGCTGGTTTTACCCATATTCCTCCTCGCTGCCATTATATTAGATTTGGCAGGATTTATTTTTGACGAGATGTTACTTGAACCGTCGCTTGAGGTGGAGGACCTTCTCGACTGAACAGAATTTGTTGTTGAAGAAGACAACAGAGAACTACTTGATGACGGTGCAGGCTTAGGCAATGCTCTTCTAGCACTAACTGAGGATACTTTTGGGGATTGAGTCCCTTGACAGGGAACAACTGCGGTCAAGTAAATAACAGAATGAGTTACTGATATGATATATGAATTGAGATGGATAAAGAAAATTAAGGATTTTAAATAGTTTAATGGGGTTTGAGATTCCACTTTTGGCACGACTGGTTCCAACAGAATCCCGCTTTCCAGCTGTTGTTGATGAGGGGATGGAGCTGCTAATAGTCTTGGGTGGTTTAGGAAGACTCATGGAACTTTTCCCTCCAATCTTAGGTGTAGACGTCTATAAGAAAAAAATGATGGTGTCAGTCTATGACAAACACAAATGGATTATCTCAAAAAAATTACAAACATTTCAATTAACCATACATTGATTACAAAGAAAACTGACAGTTGTGCTTGAGATACAAAATGTGTTGATTTAACCTAAATAACATATCTAACTTCATATTAAGTCAGTAAAATTATGGCGGCCAGGACACGCCTCAATTTTTATTTTTGATAACCAACGTAGAAATAATAAATGCTATTTATACGACGTAGAAAGGCACCGCAGAAAAGAAGCAACTCTAATTTTAATGAACTTTGAGCAGTATTCTCCATTTAAGATTGCAACTATGGATTGATAATGGGGCAGTACCCAAAGATTCTCGTCCGTTTTAAAAATGCGAGTCCAAATTGATATAGTTTGGAAGGATAGAGGGTTTCAAAGCAAAAGCATGCCTGTTTCGCCTGTGAGTGAACAGAATCTTGCTTTGTTGCTTTCCCTATTGCTAACTTCCCTATGTTTTCTTTTGGCTGACATTTAGATGTCCTAGCAGTTTGCAAGCTATCCGTTTTCTTTACACTTGGTTTTTGGCTCTGCAGAATAGGAATTAAAATCAGTAGTTAAAACAATTCATAACTTCAATCATCAGTTACAGCACCTACCTTATTTCCAGAGTTAGTGTCTTCCTTCTTCAAAGCTGAATATGAACACAAATATTAGTTCAAGAATAAAAAACAAGTCAAATAAATAGATACAAAAACTCCAACGCGTGAAAAGTTAATACATGCATGAGTCAATTATATTTTCCTAGAGATGAGTCAGATGACTATGGAAAAGGAAAACGGATACTAAGAACGAAAGCTGCATTACCACCTTGGACTGAATGTGGTGATATTTTATCATGTTTCTATTTCAGAAAACTAACGGAGTGAGCTGTCTATGATCGCATTCCATTCATGATTTTCTAGTTTCTATCTATGACTTAATATCAAATTCCACTTTCCCCACATGCTGGGCATATTGTGCGATCACCAAATACAGCTTCAGGATAAGTTCTGAACTTCTGATCAATTGTATGAATCGAACACAGCTATTCTAATTTCCCAACTGTGTGTAATGAAAACATTAGCTGATTTGTTAAATTCTTCCAAGCAATCTATTCAAGAGGAAACAGATAGGATTATCAGTATCCTCATCGAATATCAGTAGAGACATAATTCATATAATCTCACACAAGATAGAAACAGTTTACTTACATGAAATGGCTGTGCTATCTACCTCCACAGCAGCTGCCTTGCTGCTTGAGATTCTCGAATTCAATGCCTTTTTACTGGATCTTTGGATGGAAGCTCTAATGTCCACAAACAAGTCTTCCTCAAGAGTTTCCATCGTCAAAGTGTCACTTCCGAGAGTGGAAAGCGACTCGGTTGACCCTGTAATTTCCTCTTGAATTCCAGGCAACATTTGCTTCTCTCCCTTATATGCTCCTGTCATCATGGTTGACAATTCTTCTGCGTCTAGTACTCCTAAAGTTTCAGAACAATAAAATTAAAACCAGAAAAGAGAAGTTGATTCCTACTGAAAAGTAATGCATGGCCATGGAATCCAAATTACCTGCACTAGTGAAGAATGCACTGTCCCAAGCTAAACTTTTACGCAAATTGTACCTCCCATTTTTTTGGTTTTCTTGAGGTTCTGTCGATTCACGCAGTTCCGGCAAGAGGTCGGTCTCACTGATGAGAAGACCATCATCACCTTCTTTTTCAGTAATCAATCCTCCTGAATTTTCAATGAGAAAATATGACCCAAAAAAAAACTCTAGGAATAATATGCAATAATGCAAAATCAAATGGTTTTCAAATCCATCAAGGGCTTTCACATCAAAATTCAACTTCTTAACCTAAACTACAAACTCAGCAGCTCCAAATTCCCATAAGAAAACAACAATTCAAGCAAAATCACAGCGTTTAGCCCAAAAGGCATGCCGGGACACTCTCGAAGAACACCGTATGAACTGATTTGTGCACAGACGCAGCAAATAGAAAGAAAAATCGAGAGTAACAAGAGGGAAAATAACCTGAAAATTGCTCGCCGTCAATGAGACAGTCGGCTTCGAATTCGAGATCGATCTTCCGGCACGCTTCCATTTCCATGTTTATCCGATTAATTGAAAAAATCGAGCTTCGATTTGCAGTTTCGATTGATGGAGTGTGTGAGCAATGATAGATAAAAAGAGTGTGTAGAGAGGAAAATGATTTTTGAACCGCACAAAAGGCGAGCAAACCTTATCATAAGCGGAAAAATCATTAGGGTATAGCCGAGCAAACCTTATCAAGATTTTCTTATTGAATGCATGGAAAGAATCCCTAGGATTAAGATATCCCACACAAAGAAGTAATTCGTTATTCGACTTAGAAAAACGATTATTAAGCTCCACTAGTTGTTTATCTAGAACAACATAAAATAACTCACAACGAAAATAAACCAAGTTTGTCTTTCCATGAGTTCTTCGTCTAGGGCGGCCAGGAGCTTTGAATGTTTCATCCATATTTAGTACCGTGACTTCACGCATAGAACAAAATGAAAAAACTCCATTCAAAATACTATCCCATCCATCGTCTCTCATTGACTGCAATCTTTCTTTTGATATAGAAACCAATCTCATAGCATTCTCAATATCCTGGTCTTTCTGTTGCAAAGCCAATGACAAGTCTTGAGTATTCCCAATATATTTTTCATCATATGCATAGTGAATATAAACTCAAATGATTGTAGTGCATCTAACAACATTCGTGCTTCAACTTTTTGATCAGTGCTTACTCCATCCTCTATAATAAGTTCAAGTACTTCAATTACGGATTCAAACATGGTAGTAAGCTTAACAAGAGTATTGTAATGTGAACCCCAATGGGTATCACCAGCCCGTTGCAAATTAGTTTATTGATTCAATCCACGTTCACTAAGAATTTCTCCTTTTCTTAGAGCTTCTACAACTTTTTTATGTTGTTTGGCTTTAAGAATATCCTGCCTCTTACAAGATGCTCCAACAACATTCATAACTTTCGACGTGATCTCAAAAAGATATTGAACTTGAAAAGGAAATTTTGCAACAGCTACTAAACTCAGTTGAAGTTGATGAGCAAAACAATGGACATAAAATGCACATGGAATTTCTTGTAAAATAAGGGTTGTCAAGCCTTTAAGCTCACCTTGCATGTTGCTTGCCCCATCGTAGCCTTGACCACGCAATCTTGATATGCTTAAACCATGACGAGAGAATAGACGATCAATGGCACCCTTAAGTGAAGCTGCAGTTGTACTCGAAACATGTTCAATACCGAGGAAACGTTCTAGTATCTTCCACTCTTTGTTAACGTATCTTAAAACAAATGACATCTCTTCTTTCACCGACACATCACGAGACTCATCAACCAATATTGTAAAACACGCCTCACCAATATCCTTAACAACTGCACAAGTAACTTCATTAGCAATAGCAACACAAATATCTTTTTGGATAAGGAATGATGTCAGCTGACAATTTTGAGGAGCATTCTGAAATGTAACTTTTTCAACAAGTTCACTATGTTCAGCAAGCCAATGAAAAAGTTCCAAATAATTGTCTCTATTAGCCGATGTGTTAGATTCATCATGACCTCGAAATGCTAAACCCTGCCTTAACAAGAAACGAACACAATCAATAGTAGCATTCAACCGAGTTCGATATTCAACCTTATCCTTTTTTTGCTTTCCGGTAAATAAAGCAGAAACACTTCCCGTAAGATTTTGATTTGTTAGATAATTGCATTTCGATTTGTCTACGTTATGAAAACTGTTATACTTGCCAATATGTTGATCAAATATCTCATTTTTTTCTCCAATTTTTAAAACCTTCACCAACAAATGCATCCCCCCCACTTTGATTACTCGGCGATCTAAAAAGATAACAGTACAAGCAATATGCACTGTCTTTGGATATGCTATACTCTAGCCAGTCAGGATACTTTTTAACCAATTTGCGACAAACCTCCTTTTCACATTTCCAGTTTCAGTTTGGGGAAATTCATGAAGAATAAGCTGACAAGGACCCTTTAATAAATATGCCTGACGCACTCTGTCCCTGTCATTAGCATCATAACTCCATATTGGTTGTCGTAGCCCTGGACGTGAAAATCAATGGACATGAAAAATTCTCCCAACTCGTCTGTTGGGGTTAAAGTTATCCCCGCATCTAAAGAAACTTGTCAAGACCCCAAAAATACTCAGAACAAAGATCGAGATGAGCAAGTATTTGCAAATACAGGTAATGCCAGTATCGAGGAGAGCTTAGGTGGTACAAAAATCGAAGCCAGTGACTTGGGGGTGATTGTTTATGTTTTGAATAGTAAAAAATCTAGAATTTTTTAATTATGGTTAAGTTTAAGAAAAAGTGGTATGGTTAGTTGTTAGTGGATATATTAAAATAGTATTTAAAATAAAATAGTTAAAGTTGATTTGATGTAAAAGTAAAAAAAAATGATTGGAAGTGATAGTTAAAATTAGTTAAAATTATGTGAGTAGATGAATTGTGAATTAAAGTTGATGTGATATGTAATAATGATTTGTTGATGTTTGTTTGTCCCATTTTTGTTGCTTTTTTTCGTCGTCATCTTGTCTTTGTTTTTCTCCATGCTAAGTCTTTTCTTCAATTTTTAGCTCGTTTTAGTGTTTATTGTGTGTTTCGTGCTATTTCGGTTTTCTGTGTGTTTTTCGTATATTTTTCCGGTTTTTCTTTCTTTATGGTGTGTAGGTCGGAAGCCTCGGGAGCATCGGGTTTCAGGCGGAAATTAGTCGGACAAGCGTAATTAGATAGAGGAGTTCGTTAGCAACACACAGGAAAAAGCGGAATCGAATTCTGATACCAGACGAGCCCGTACGACTCCAAAACGTGAAGTAGTGCGAGCTGTCCACTGGGCTGCCTAGGCCCCGCACCGCGCAGCTGCCACGACACGGACAGAGAGCACAACAGCAGCCCTCGCGCGCGCGGCGCCTAGCACGACGCGGCAGACAGCGCCCCTGCGCACGCGCGCGCCCAGCATTCCGTGCCACCAGATGTTTTCCGCGCCCGTGATGATTTTCTCACGCCCGTGACCCTATTTTATATAAATACGCGTACGAACTTTGGAAGAGATAAATTCCCACCTTCCGGGGTGAAAACCCTAGGTTGGGAAAAACACGAACTCTCTTCCTCCTTCCTTCTCTTCTTCATCTTCTTCTTCTCCATTTTTCTTCTTCTTTTCATCATTATTTTCCACTTTTATTCTTCTTCATCTTTACCACTAGGGATTAAGCTTGTATTTGGAATTCAACACTTGAACTTGGGATTAATTATAAGTTTTTTCTCTTTTTATTCAATTCATGAAAATGGTTGATTTGGAGAGAATGATTGATTGTGTTGAATCGCTCCTACGTAGCTAATTCTTATTGCTAGGGATAGGGGATGATTGTTCTTGTTTGAATTGCATTTTGTCGGGTTTGAATTGTTCGTTCTTATGTGGGTTGATTGAATTTGGAATTCATGAAATTGAACTTGATAATTTGATACAATCGAAGGGTGACACTTCGATCTTGTAATTGGTAACAATTAGATATTGAGTTGTCGAGTTTGGTCTTGTTGATTCTTTATGATTAGTTGATTAAATACCTTCTAGTCTAATTAGCGATTTTTAGACCCGAAAGGGGAGAAATCGTAGACCTAGGCTTGCATGAGGTAGATGATGTCGTAACTGATTAGTCTATGGGTTTTGGGTTGAAATACGCGCTCGTCGATGACCAGTCCCTTGTTACGAAAAGTTATCTGAATTGGGATAATTGGCCTGTGTCATATGCTCGAGTTTGTTCGTCTATGTTCAATCAATTGTTACGAAAAGTTATTGTGAGCAAACAACTAGATGTTTAAGCGAGAGCATCAATCGAAAATAGAATGATTTATGTCCCGGCTTTGCAAATAAAACTTGAATTAATTGTACCCGATTCCCTAGCTGCTCCATCCTTGTTTCATTCGCATTTTTAGGTAGATTATTGTTTTTATTATTTCTTAGTTGATAATATCCAATCTTTATCTTATTAGGGTGTTTAAGATTTTATTTTCTTTTTTGTGTGATCGATATCAAAGTTGAATTCCGAACAGCCTTCCTCGTGAGATCGACCCGGGGATCGAATCTTTTGATTCGGTACTCGGTAAAAAAAATAATTTGTACACAAAAAATTTGGCGCCGTTGCCGGGGAAGGCGAGTAGGATATTTTGTTTTGGTATTGATTTTATTTTTCATGTTTCTCTTTAGTTTGTAATTATCGTGTTTTTGTTCTTCTTTTGTGTGTCTTTGTTTGCTTCTTTGTTTTTGTTTTTATCTATTCCTCTTTTTTTTTTTCCTTTTAGTGGCTACATTTGGGTTGTTCTGCTTCGGTGTGCAGGTATCATGAGCTACAACCATACTTTCCCCTATTCGCACACCCAATATTGGGTTAACGAGCCGAGTCATTCCACTGGGCATCACTACCAGCCATATTCATAGCCTTCCGAGCAGTGTTGGGATCCCTACATAGTCGAGCAAACTTATGAGTCCCACGAGTTTAACGAGAAGCTCGACCGTATCTACGCTTTCGCAGTATTCCGGTTAGCTCAAGAAGAAGAGACCGCAGCCCAGTGTGCCCGTCCGAACCAGCCACCTCCTTACCATGATTCTTGGGACTATGGCCAGACATTATCATATCCTTTCGATCAGCAGTGGGATTTCGAGCCTGTTGAGCAGCCATATGAGTCTTTCGAGGACTCCTCAGAGTACAATGCCAATCTCGATCAGGCCCTCGCTCTTTTGGTATCTCAGACTGCTCGTAGGAGGAATATCGAGTCTAGAATCGAGAACCTAGTGGAGCGCGTGCAAGCCTTATAGGATCGAGTTATCAATGTCACTCCGAGCCCACCGCGCAAGGCGAATCTACATATAGGGATGAGCCTCGGGAGGATACTTTGTCATTCGATGAGAAGCTCGACCTCATCCTTGCTCGCATATCTGCCCAGTCCACTCGAGATGTGGAGATTGAGCTCGGGTGTGCTCGACTGAGCACACAAATGAAGATTCTTGCATCACATACCAACTCAATCGAGGCAAGA